TTATTTTATTTGGCGGCGCAACTTCGCACAATTAGGGGACCCCAAGCGACCTTGGGGGTGCTGAATAACGGCGGCGAAACTTCGCGCAATTAGGGAACCCCACACTAATCGGGAGCTAACATTAATCCTACGGACAAAAAATCCTCGGGGTCCTCAAGGGCATCCCTCTTTTGAGAAACCACCCGTGTGAGTCTCACTTAACCCTGGGCACCGCACTAGCATCTTGCTCCGTGACTGTGGACTGCAGCTGCAGTGCCTCTGCATCATTCTCCACCTGGCTCATATCGATTGGTTTACGCATTAGCGTCATTAGCGCCTATACTTTTTGTCTCACCGGGGTTTTGGGGTTCAGGGAAGAGTCGCTCTAGCATTGCATACTCTAAGCTGGTGTGCCGACCGCCAAAGGCTTTTCAGTAGTGATCCCTAGCTTGAAATATGTTGCTGGTGGACATACCGCCTGGCAGCAGCAAAGACAGCAGAGTCTCAAAGCTCACAAGCTCTGGCGCTGTCAGAGAAGACAAAGCCAAGGTTCCCCCTTATAACCCTATTATAACCTATATATACATATATAACCCATATATATATATATATCCCATATATAATACAACCCTAATATAATACAATCCTAATATATCCTATACTCAGATTTTCAGCTCCCACCTTGACGGCAAAGCTGACGGCAGTAGCCTTAGCAATATCTGCTTGAGGCAGTTTCGGACGCGAGTGCTCCTTGCCCTCAAAAGTGCAGCTGGGGATGCTTCTGTAAACATGCTATTCAAGCTGGCAAATTCCACTGTTGCTCACCTTGTTTTTGTGCATCTGACATCTTCCTGCTGGCATGTGGCGACAGCAGCCAGTCGTCTTCGGATCCGTGCAGATGCTTGGCACGCGGAGATCTCCACGTTCAAAACCTGCAGATTGCAGCAGTCTTTGGTAGTGCTTACCCCGAAGAATGTGTCGCTTCATTTGCTGGTCATGCCCTCTGCAATCTGGGGCTATCACTGAGGCCGCTGTCAGGGCAACCTGCCGGGGATTTCTGGTACAGTGCAGCAGCATGTCGCCATCAATTGTCAAGTGTCCACTGATGTCCTAACGTCAGCAGGCTACATGGCCTGGCCGGCAGACGAGAGCCCCATGACCTGCCGGAAACTCGGATGCAACGCCTTTGACTTGCACAGCCTGAAGTTCCAAACTGTTGGTTGCGATTTTGGATGAGGACTCCCCATTGCCTGCTCCAATGCCTCCCCAGCGCCAAGAACAGCTGAGCACCAGGCCAGGGCAAGGCTCACATCACCCACAAAGCGATCCTTGAACGTAGTGCACAGCTGGTCCTGCAGGGTACACATTTTGTTGTGCTGAGGACTCTGCCCTCCCTGATACCACACACGCCGAATGTGACTCTGGTGCGGGCAGCGCCCTGCCTTCGTCAGAGTGCTGGGAAGATTCATCCTGGGTCGCGAATCTCTCAAGGGGGTAATGTTGGGGCGTAATATGGGTTAATATTAGGATCATGGAAAGGAAAATGGAAACTACTGCAGTACATTGCGATTATATAGGGATAATGGACAAGAAAATGGAAACTACTGTAGTACATTGCGGTTATATAGGGAGAATGGAAAAGAACACGGAAGCTATTCCCTGTTGTCAGTGCAAAGTTGGCCGGCCAGAATGGATGCTGGGCATCCCGCGTCAGGGTAATGTTGCCCAAGAGAACAACCTAGGAGTCAACTCTCGAAGAGATTCCAGCCACAATCCATTATTACAATCATTATTACTAGTATTATTACTACTATTACCACTATTAGTGCTATTATTATTGATTGGTAATATAATATCATGTCATTCTCACATTCCCTACTATCCCACAGGCTGAGCATCCTTGGCTTGGAAGCAGCTTATGAGCTTGGACCCTGACTGTGTCGTACACTGCCAAGCCATCTGGGGCGCAGATTCGGCCAGCCCTTGCCTCGAAATGACCAACCTATGACCAGATGTCTGGTCAGACAAGAATTAACAGAAGTACAAGGAATAGTAATGGCAATAATAATAGTAATAATAATAGCAATAAGAATACTTGAATAGTGGTGAGAGTGAGCAGATCCTGCTCAAACAATACTAGGAAGTACCTAACGGTGACATGAGTTTCCCGAAATAAGGGGGGACCCCAACATAGACCCAAAAGTACGATAGTCCCTATAATATGGAGACCATCAACCTCAATGGTACCCATAATTTTCGGAAACCCCTCGACATGCTTCATGCCAAACTTTGTGAGGGAGGGGGTCTCTCGTGATTTCTGCTGGGCCAACAATGTCCGAAGTCATCTTGTCTCGGGTTTTGGGGTCATTGTCAGATGGTACGTTTGGGGTCTAGGTTTCACGGTCTTGGGTTCCTTTCTCTCGTGTTCAAAGCTCAGGGCACACCGTTTTAGATTTAGGGTGCGCGGTTTAGGGTTTAGAGTTGGCCGTAAGTTATCTTAAGTTGAGGGACTGCGGCTGTTGGGGTTAGGGTTCAGGGCTGCGTTGTTGTGAGGTGTAGGGCGGGTTTAGGATTCAAGGTCTACGGCTTGAAGTGCAGCCTCGGCCTAGGGTTGAGAGGTGTTGCGGTCAAGGTGTAGGGTTCCGGTAGTGGAGACTCAGCCGGCGCAACCAGAACCTGTTTGAGATTTCAGTTGCTGCTTTGCCAACCCTAAATACTCTTGAGCCTAGCAGCAGTGCAAAGATATGAACATGCTGCTGCCTGCCGCACCTAGTCACAGGCGACCCCTATACCACTTCTTCAAGAGCCGACTGAACGACAACAGCACTGCCTGATGCATATTCGCGAGAAGGCAAAACTGCAGTGCAAATGCTAAGCGTGCTGCGCCAGTATATTCCAGTTTCCACTCCACTTCTGGCTCGTTCTCCTTGTTCACTACTGGACCGCACCTGCCACAACCGTGTCAGTACAGTAAACACTGCCACAAAAAGAATTACGCGACTCCCTTCTCCTACTCTTCCGCACGAGAGGGGCATTCCCCGGCCTCAGTTCCAGGCTGCCGGACAGGCCAAAGGCAGACCCGCCGGGAGAGTAGCCTTCCCTGGGGAGTGCTGATCTCTGTCTACTCATGTTCCATGATTTCCATGCCTTGACATGAACATATGTCCTACAAGTACGAGTCCTACCGAAGCTTTTTGCTCACCGACATCTCTGGCAGTGGGGCTTCTTGAGTTTCTGGCAAGCAGGTTAGGGTCGCCATGGCGTCAACCTCCTCAGCAGTTGCTGTCTAAGCTGGAGACAGAAACACGAAGTCTTGTATGAGCTGAGGCCTGAGCCCTGCTGTCGCTGGCGTACTCTACCACAGCGTATTGCATCCCATCGTTTTCATCGAGCGATATGGTGAAGGGATAGTCACCACAAATACCCGGCCTAGGCTCAAAATGGCTTCAAGTCATCCATGTTTTCTTGCGAGAAGACTCCGGTGCCCCATCGCAACTACAAGATGGAACTTAATACAAGACATAACGGCGTGTCCATCCACATGACTACGAGCACCAGAGCAAAAGTCTTCCGTACTCACCCTCGCAATCGCAAAATCGCCGCCACCGCCGCTGCTGCCGCCGCCACCGCTGCTATCGCAGCTTCTCTGACGGCTACCGTCAACACCAGCAGCTGTTGGAAACAAGTCGTAAGTAGCATACCTTGACCACCTGTACTGACTAGGTTCTCGGCTTGCACTCCACTGAAGGAGTAAACGCTGGCCGCGCCTGCTAATAAGTAGAAGCAGTCAAGGCAATGACAGGAGCTGTAGGAGTGGTGTCTCTGTGGAGGGAACAAATCAACCATGCATCAAATCATTAGCAATCGTGATGCAGGTTCGTGGCTAGAATCATGATCAGGGTTTTCACTGCCGGGCGCTTACAGCAACAGTCATGATCACAATGGTAAGAAATCTACCGAGTGTCAACTCACTGGACCTTTTGAAAGGACAAGGAAAGATGCATTTAATCCATGTCACGTATCTACAGATAAGGACTTCATACCTAATTATGTGTGCCATACCCTGAAAATTGTTCCTTAGGATTACGGCTTCGCCTTTGCCGCCTTCACTGAGCGTAGGGCATAGTTTCGGTTGCACGTGATCCAGAAACATATGCCATGAACTCTTGTACTGCCTTCTTTTTAGACACAATGACCTTGTCATGATGGAGTGGAATCTAAGCTTGCCCGCAAGCACTTTCGATCGCGCATGTCATGCACCAGCTTTTTTCCCCAGCACGCAACTAAAGTTGCAGCAGATGTAGTAGTAAGATGAGGAGGACGAGGAGGAGAGCAGCAGCATCAGCAGTGGAAGTAGTAATAGGGGTAGTGCGCTGGATATCAGGAAATGGAAGAGGAACAAAAAACAAAAATGCCGGAAATTCTGTCCCCGAACCTTTTCATGGGGTTTTGGGCTGCATCAAGTTGGCACAGGACGCCTTCTACACCTTGACACTGTGCACTACGATGCTGCGTATTTGAAGGACATCTCATGGCAAAGAACCATCGAAACCGGTAAGAAGAGTAGTGATACGAGGCAGTAGCTACTGCAGGAAGGGCCCTTCGTAATGGCAGCCTCAGGCTCCATTGAATTTGTGGTACAGACGGCCATGAGATTGGAGGGCACATAGCCAGGTCGACAGCGAAGGTCGCAAACCTCGCTGAAAGCTCGCTGGTGGAGAGGGCAGCGAAGCTGAAGGGACAGCCTAACCATTAGGGATCTTACCCACATGATCGCAAAATGGAACATAAAATGGGGGCTGCGGTTACAACGGTAGATTTTGACAGACAGTGACTCTGTGGGGGTCCTGTGATAGGTCCCTCAAGAGAGTGGATCCTGGTGTGCGCGGTCTCTAGCTCACATTTTGTTGAAGTCGACCCAAAACTGCGGCATTCTTCAATTCAATTGTGCACTTGCAGGTAGACTTTTGAATTCGCCAAACAAGCAACGAATGATTGCATTAAGATATTGTCAAGAAGGCGCGGCACTTCATATCCCAAGGACTCGGGTATTTCGGTCTTCTCAGAGGGGCACTGCCGGAAGGGTAGATACCACTATTCAAATTAGAAGGATACACCCACAAGCCTCAAACCCAAGACCCAACCCGTTTGATGCTGTCAAGAGGGGTCCAGAAAGATCCCCTTTCCCCTAATGGCTGGTTCTGATTATAAAGCCCCCCACCCCCCCCCCCTCCAAACAAGTACTACGGATCTGAATAATCCGGGGGGCCCCCAATCAAGTACGAACTTGTTTGGGGGGGGATCCCAGAGGAACCCGTAAACCCTAAACACTGCGCCCTAAGCCCTCTGGCCTAAGGCTTGGGAAATATTTGCAATTACATATTAATAAATCCCTTCCCCCGAGTATTAAAACCAACCCTAATATGTAGAATTCTAATTATTGATTTGAAGCTAGCATGCACTATTCCGTTTCTATGTTGTTATGAATCCGTTCAGCCCGGATTTAGCTCGAATACGACCCCCTTTTTCTTATTCCGTTCAGGCCTGATTTAGCTCTAATACGACCCCCTTTTGTAATCAGAAGTTGACATTAAACCCCAAATTGGGATCCCAGGCTGCGCCGAAGATCGGCCTTTGCTCGTCGTTTTGGCAGATCAAGCCTTCGGCGAGAAGGGTGACTACCCAGACCCCCCTAAAGGATCCAACAAAACAAGTGAAACTTCCCCAAAAAAGGGTCCAACCTAGGGAATTATTCTGGGGTTCATTTTTTTGGATCCCTAAGGGGTCTGGGTACTTGTACTACACCAGCTACGGCGTGATCACAACATCGCATCATCATCGCATTGCCGAAGACTTCTATCTGACATCTGTTGATGCAGATGATTTGCTCTTGAATTTGGCAAGGTCCTTTTTTTTGTTAGGTCCGGCGCCGTATGTTTCGGGCTACAACAGAATCACCCTGAAGTCGGAAACTACTCCCTATACTGAAGGCCAGAGCGACTAGAGCAACTCTTTGGCTCTGGGTCTCCAGCGGCCGCTGTTTAGGCCCTGCCTCGGCGGAGAGTAGCCCCTGGGGTTATACGGAGGAGAAAAAGGGATAATGGAAAAGAAAATCGAAACTACTATATTATCTTAACGTTGGTTCTACTCTGGAGATCTTATGGGGATTACGGAGGGTCAGTTTAACGCTTCCTGTTGCAGTTCCATTCGGATTTTTCCTTGAACGAGCAACAACAAATACACCAAAGGAAACAGGCCTGGATCCCTGGGCGCCCAAAATGCCAACAGAAACGGTACTTTCCCAAACTCGGGAAACCCCAACATAGACCCCCCAATACTATAGTCCTTATTTTGGGGACCCCCAAAAGGGTACCCCCAATTGTTGGAAGTCCCTAAATATCTGAGCACCCAACGGCTCGGCACATTCCAAGCGCTGGCACTGCGGGGCCTCTCTGAATATCGGACAACTTGGGTCAGAGCTGGATGGATGAGGTTTCGATTTGGGTAGGTAACTCTTCAGACGCTACATTGTTCTCCAATTTATCAAAATTCCCGTCCAAGGGGGAATCAGCGCTGAATCATTGTTCGTGTAAACGCGAATCCGCCTGTGAGAAATACTAGGTTTTGATTCCAGCGTCCCAAAGACATAGAGCATAGAGTCCAAGACCAAATAGGGATTTGAAACAAATCAGAAGAACCAGAGGCCCCATATGGGGATTATGCGGTGCCTTTCGGCATGGTTGTGCGGCTAGTTTAGTGGGGGCGTTGGGAAGGATTGCATGTGCCGGAAATAGAAGATGTACATTCAGGTTGGATTGCTCGGGAATCAATCCAGTACTTTTTGGGGTGTCATGCCTACGAGAGATGCTAGTAACTTGAGGGTTTACAGAGACCTCTATTCAAACGACAATGTTGTGCTATGACGCACTCTCCTGCCATGATTTTTAGGAAGGCCCAAACTGGCAAGCAGACTCACAGTAGCTCGTAACAGTGATCCTTCAAGGAGCCTCAATTGTAGCCCAACATATGGTACTGTAGATTCCCAAGATAGGGGGATTTGAGCAAAACAACTTATTATGGGGGACCCAAATGGCACCACTAATTTTGGCGAACCCTATCGATTCCCATCTAAGTAATGGGCCAAGAACTGGCCCTGCTCACAGCGGTAGACGTTGTCAACCTCCAGGAAAGCCCACACAAGGCGTGGGGACCCTGTTTGCGCTCATGCATGCTAAGTATGATATTGCCCTGCTGGTCTGTTGAGCAGACACCTTTGTTGATAAATTGTCTTGTACAATGAAATCTGGAGGCTTCAGGCGGAAGACTAAGTGTATCGGATCTTAATATTGAATAAGTCAGTGAGGAGCAAGTACGACCTGGGAAGAAAGGGTGGTGTGCGCGTACTATACAGGTGGTAGGATCCATACGCCACAACTAGTCGCACCAAGCTGAGATAAGCCCTCATGTCTGATTGCGCAGGTGTGTCACGTGTCTTGGTCCGCCAGATGTGTAAGATCTATAACTACAAGTCTCTGTAAGTAGTTCCTCATCTTTCACAATGACTGGCATAGGGGTTTCGGCGAGCTACCGCCATCATCATCATCATCATCATCATCATCAGCATTATCATCATCATCATCATCGTCGTCATCATCATCACCAAAAATCATCAGCATCATCCCTTCAATATTATGGCTGCTATTATGGCTGCGGGCGGGAGCGGCACGAGGTGGAGTGGCAGGGCCGGCAGCAGCTTGGCTAGTGCTGGTCGTCACGGTAGTGGTGGTACATGGAGAAGCAGCAGTAGTCTGAGCAACAGCCAGTAGGGCAGTGCAATCCAAAGAGCGTAACAACTGCGGCCAGGCAAAGGTTTCCCGAAAGTACATGCTCATCAAAAATCTTGGTGAAGCCAACTCAAATGAAGACGCTGTCGCAAACAGGGTGGGGGCGGTAGGGGTGGGAGTGGCGGTGGCGGCAGCGGTGGTAGGTGGTAGGTTGTCTGGGGTGGGGGTTGTGACGTGCTAGGGGTGGCAAATGCACAAATTAAACGCTACTGTCACATTGTCTCCGTGACTCGAGGGGCTCCACTTTTTGGAAAACTTCACCGAATCATCCGCAGGCACTAGCGACACTTATGATACTCGCCGTGGTCAAGGGGTCCAGGCCTTCCAGCCTGGAGCACAGAGCACCGCACAGATGCCATCGTGAGGTAGCGGACTGGCGCAGCCAAGCACTGCACTGCAATGGATACAGTGGTTATATCTTATTAGGTCTTGGTATTCATGGCTTATGAGGTAGGCAAGCGAGTTCCCAATGCTCCCCTCTGCAGTGTTGTAGGCGGCACAGCGTCGTACTCCAGCTCATTTGGTGCTGAGGTACGGGCTTGCTTGCTGAAATGTTGGGGCCTCGGCTCTTTCGCGGTCAAGCAA